TAAATTTATTCTTTATTTCTCCAGCTGCTTTTTCTGTTGAGAAAGTCTTGAAGTGGTTAAATGAAAACAAGTGAAAGACAGACATTCCCCAATGCTACAGGGTTGAACCACTTGAAAACCCTTGAAAAAACATTGCACTTGCTCAGTGCCTTGAGGAGGCAGAGAAAAAGAGAGGGGAAAAGGGAAGGAGGGAGGGAGGGAGGGAGGGATCCTGCACCGCTGTAGTGTGAGCAGGCACAGGGAGATCAGATCAAGGAACCCATGGCTGCAGCTGGAGCACTGCAGGCTCTAACAGAACCCTTTGTATCCCTGTAGCCTTTGAACTGCACAGCCTTAGACCACGGGGCTTTCATGTTTTGCATTTTTAGAAATGAAACACTTGTGGAAGAGACATGAAAAGGTTCTGTAGATGCGGCGCTGCTGCGCTGAGATCTGCTCGGGGCACGGGGCATTGATGCCAGGGCTGCCACCTCCTTTGTGCTGAGACCCAGAGCTTGATGTTAACCCTGCACCTTTCTGGGGTCACTGCTACGGCTAGAGATCTCAAATATTCATCAGAACCAAGTTTCAATCAGGGTTAAATGTTTTTCCTATAAAATTATATGTTCTCTGGCATTTAGACTCACGAAAACCTCTTGTCTTAAGACTGCCCAAACTCTGATTCTGCCAATTCTAGGGTTAAAGCTGTTCAAGTCTAGAGTTGCTTTTTCTCTGTGATGGGCTTTTCAATGCTGTTTTTTTGTTCAGAGCTTCCAAAGGTATTTGTCAAAGGTTTAGTGGTGGGAGAGTGGAAGGTGACTGAAGTAAAACACAAAATAGAGTTGGTTTAATAAAACCCGTTGTCTCATGAACTGCAGAGCTTTGAAGTCAGCTTGGACTGTTTGCTCAGGTGTGAACCATGAACCTGCCAGTACTGCCATATTAATAACAAGGATTTTCTTCTCCTCCTCTCTTCTTGGGACAGTCTTCAGCCTGGCCTGGCAGAACACGCTCAGGGAGATGGTCAGGAAGCTGAGGAGCTGCTGCAGAAAAAGCAGCGCCTGTCGCTGGCCCCCTCGGACGGGACGTGTGTGGCCGCTCGCACCCGCCCCGTCCTGAGCTGCAAGAAGCGGCGCCTCGTTCGACCCAGCACCATCATGCCCCTCTCCAAAAAGGTGAGTTGGGGTTGTTTTTCTCTTTATTTCCTTGTAAAGATGAGGAAAAAAACAAACAACCAACAGGAAGGAAGAGCAGGACAGCAAGGCTTCAGAGGACATTGGAAAAATAAAGGAGAAGGTTGTAATGTGTTGGAAGATTTTTCTGAGCTGTCACTGGAAAGATGCTGAACTCTGAGTTTTCATTTTTTAAACCAACAAGCCTGAGGTGAACTCAGGGCTGGGTAGGTCAGTGTGGCACAGTTGGAGATGGAGAAAGAAGCCCTGAGAAGTCAAATATCAGGAAACCTTAACTCTGACACAGGAATTAGCAAAGCCCCAGGAACTCTGCTGCTGCTCAGGGGAAAACCACAGTTGTCTGCCCAGGCATACGTGGGATGAATGCCCCTGTCTCTTCCTGTTTTCTTTTCTTTATTGTTGTTTTTTATACTCCTCTCCCTTATGCAGAATTCATTCAATGGAAATAACAGTTTTATTGCCTGTATGAGGAAGGGCCGTGTTTCATTCTTTTTATTTTCTCTTAGGAATACCATAAACTGTCAGTTGGAGGGAAAATAGTGAGAAATGGAGGAAATAAGGACCTTTATTTGTGCATGCAGAACCATAATAGCAAAAATTCACTTACCTTGGAGACAAAGTGTTTCAAGTCAAACTTTCCCACAAGGGTTGGGGTTTTCACTGTGTTTTAAAGAGAAGCTCCAAAAGCAGCATTTTTTTCTGAGCAAAACAGATTCTTGCAGAGCTGACTCAGCTTTAACTGGTCACTTATCTGCAGTTTTTATCTGGGATATTTCTGGGAGAGCTCTGCAGTGATTACTTGTGAGATCTTCAGCGATTTCAAAGTTGAACTTTCTCATGGTTGACACTGCCTTGTGCTTGAAGAATTGGCTGTTAATTCTGTGTTAGATCTCTGTTGTTGTCATCGAATACATTTGGTAATCAGAGATGGTTTAGAAGAGCAGTTCCAGGGATGGAAGAAGTGCCAGAGAGCAGGGGATTTCTGTGTGCTCCTCCAGTCATTCCAGAGACAGCTGAGTCATGGCCAAGTCCTGCTCCAGAAATACCATTTCCAGTTGCCCACACTCTCCTGCCCAGCACAAAGTGCTGTGGATTGAGCTTTGCACACACATTGCCCATACAACATGGGGGTTTTGATCTTGGAATGTTTTTATTGTTTTCCTCACAATTTGGTGCATGCATTTATGGAAATTTGTGCCCAAAGCTGGGGGCAGCCCTCCAGCTCACATGTTGGTAGAGTGGCAGGTTTGCCTTTTCCTTGCACAACCATTCTGATTAGAAAGCCCTGTGGGCTTAATTTTTGTTATATTTTATTAATTAATTAATTCCCAGCAGTGGCTCAGCACTGCTGATTCATGCTCATTTTTGGATCCATCACAGCCTCCACATCCTCTGGGCAGAACTTCCAGAAGTAGCAAAGTAACTGCTCTGCTACTTCTTCCTCCTCATCTCTGGGCACTGAGTTTGCTTCTTGCTTTTACCCTCAGTGAACTACACTGGATTTATTTTAGATCATTTCTCTTATCTTGTAACCAGGAGTGGGTTTCCAGCTCTTTCCTTCAGACAGCCCTTCCCAAAGTTGTGTTATTCTCTCTGGATATTCTCTCTGGATATTTTTCTCTCATCCTTCAGTTCATTCATGGAAATGATTTAAATAATTCTGATCCACTTTGATCCATTCTTCCATTTTGGTGGGGAATCAGAGCTTGTTTTCTCTGTGTGGGATTCACATCCAGTTGTGTGTCTGCTTGCAGTGGTTTCACACAAATGAAGTCTGTCTCAAGTCTATAAATCTGTAATTTGAGTCTCTGTCCTGGATTAAGGAACAACGTTGAGAAACACCTTTGTCACTCTGTAGATGTCCCTGGAAGTGTCAGCTCTGACCCATCAGAACTAAAAACAGCTCTTTTTCCCCTCCTCTGACAGAGGAATTGTGCTGCTTCATGGTTTTTATAAATGAGGTTTCAACCTAGATAAAATTAAACACTTTTAGTCAAATTTAGCAGCTGTTAAACTGTCTGTGCTGGTAAGCTGTAGTTTTCAGTTGTGTTTATGCAAAGTGAAAGCATCCTCTTGTGAGGCCAGACTAAATTAACAGGTTCTGTGCAAGGTATGCGGAAAAAAGGGGTGTGTGCACATAAATATATATACACACATTCTAATTATATATAGTATTTATTATTTGTTATTGTATAGTATTTATTATTTATTTTATTATATAGTATTTATTATTGAATATACTATATATATTCTACATAATAATTACAGTCTTACAACAGTGTTTATAAAAATCACGTAACAACTATTCAATATAGTATCTAGAAATAAAACGACTTTTTAATACAAATTCATTAATGAAATGTAACTATAACATATATTGGTGTGGTTTTATATATTTAATATGTATTATGTATATGGTATATAATGTATAATATGTAATGTATATAATGTATAATATATATGTTATATATTATATATCATATATCCTGTATTGTATATTATGTGTTATATATTATATATTCTATGTCCTATATCTTATATGATATATTATATACGATATGTTATATATTATATATTTATTATATATTATATATTATATGTTTTATATGTTATATATTCTATATTTATATTATATATTCTATATTATATGTATAATGTATATTATACATTATATATATTATGTTACACATTATACATATTATGTTACACATTATACATTATATATGATATGTTATATGTTATATTTTATATGTTATGTTATATGTTATATAGCATATGTTATTTTTTATATATATATTCCTATAGAATATGTATTTATATATCGATATACAAGGAATATTAAAAAGCTGTAACCACCTTCAGAATGCTTTTCACAAGGTGTCCCAGGGAGGGTCCTGGCATGACTTTGACCCCGTGTCCCCTGTGTTTGTCCCTCCCCTGTGCAGGCCCACCGGAGCAGCCTGGCACGCTGCAGCTGCGACGTGAACCCCTCGTGTGCCCTGTGTGGCACCCGCAGCCCCAGCAGCCTGGAGATCCAGTACGATGCCCCTTTGCTGGAGCGCCTGGCGCAGCTGGATTCCTGCATCCATCCTGTCCTGTCATTCCCAGATGGTGAGCGCAGCCCCCACGGCTTTGGTTGGGTTAAAGGGGATGCTCGGGGTGTTCTGGGCTTCCAGGGAGGTGCAGATCTGCTTGGGTGCAGCCAAATCTGTTCATCTGCAGGTGTTTTTTTACCTCAGAGCCTCAGGAAAGTCTGGGGCAGTGTTACACCTGCTGCATTTTGGGAATCTCAACCTGGAGCCTCACTTGTGGTGGTGAAACCATGGAGTCCTTCCTGAGAGCTCACTCTGGGGTCTTTAGGGCTCTAAACCACTTGACAAATACTTGCCTCCACGAGTTTGTCCATCTGTATGGAATGATTTGTGAATTGGTTTGTCACAGGAAATCCTTTTGACCCTGTGAGGAATTGTAAATGATCTTCCATGGTTGGGTAGGCACAGCAAGAAAGGATGTTCCCATCAGGACACTCAATTTCCTGTGTTACAGCTTCAGGGTTAATCATCATTAAGAGGAATAATTAACTGACCCTGACTGTGGGGTATTCACAAATTCTGTGTGAAGGGTCTTCTCCCAAGGGAAAAGCAGTTTCCAGAGTTTCCTTGAACCTCCTGACCAAGCCTTGTGTGTGGCACTGCTTCCCATGGGGGTGTCAGGTGGTTGGGCCAGGATAAGTCCCTGGACTAAAGTGTGTGCTTGGGTTTCAATTCCAGCTTTTCACGAACTCCACATGACAGTAGGAAATGCAGGGAGTGTCTGGGAGCAATTAATGTGGCCTCTTTCATTAGCACTATATTTAAACCAGACTAAAATAGTAAATTGGTGCTATTTTTAGCTCGATCCCTCCCCTCCCAAAGACACAGCTCTGATCAGGAGTGCTCAAGGAACTTCACCAACTCCCAAAACAGGAATTTCTTTCCTGATTTCACAGCACCTCTGATCATCATGATCACCTTTGTGTCTGTAGTGCTGACTCAAATATCGTGGGAAGTGAGGACACAACCTGTTGGGTGCTGCTGCAGCAGAGCCACCAAGCAAATTATCCCATATTCTCATTTTTAGGGCCCCCTGCGGCCAGCTCAGATTTTAGGGTCAAAAATCTGTTCTGGCTGCATGAGATTAAAAAACTTGGGGTTTAAAACTGACTGATGTAAAGCTTGAAGCACCTGTACAGAAATACCTGTTTTCCCCTATTGATGAACTTACTTATTCACTAATGCTTAGTGCAGTTCACAAGGGTTGATTTTTGGGATGGGGATGATTTCTGTCCCAAAAAAAAATCTGTTCAGGCGGGGAAAGTGCTGTGCCTGTTGCACTGAGGTGTCTCCCTGCATTAATGCAGGATGCTGCTGGGGCTGGGGGATGTGCAGGGGTTCATGGAGGGTTCCTGGGCTGGAGCTGTGAGCATGTGCTGACTTTCACTTTGAGCCCATCTCTCCGGGCTCTCTGGTGCCAGCCGGGATCTCCGGAGCAGTTTGCCAAGGGCAAAACTGCCAGGCAATGCAGGAGGAAAAGATCATTTATTCACTTATTCCCCTGGCAAGCAGGACACAGCCAGCAAGGCCTTTAACCCCTGCACTTATGCTCTGCCAGCACTTTGTCCCCTTCCTTTCAGGGCAGCGTGGTGGTTTTTTTGTGTTTTTTTGGGGTTTTTTTTTTCTGGTTGGTTTGATTTCTCGCTGGGAATTTTTGGATGATGTAATAACCTTGGAGGGAGGATGAGCTCTGGGCTCACTGTGGTTGCCATCTGCCGGTCCCTGGGAGCCCTGCACTGCTTCCCGAGGAGCAGGAGGAGGAGGAGGGATGGTGTCACTTGCTGCGCGGACTCTGCTGCCAGCAGGGCAGTGCCAAAACAGCAAAGAACTCATTTTCTGCTGACAACATTTCATCCTGGCGTTCTCCCCCTCCCTCCAACGTGTCCCCTCCTTCCACAGATGGTGTGGGATGTGAACTGGGAGGGGAAAGCCAAAGATGAGCTGAGAGCAGAGGCCATTTTCCCAGAGTCTGACCGCTCCAGCGGATGGAAGCCCAGCTCTGTGTTGCATGATTAATTTAAATCCCGTGTTCCCTGTCCCCCTGCAGATGTGCCGACGAGCCTGCACTTCCAGAGCATGCTGAAATCCCAGTGGCAGAACAAACCCTACGAGAAAACTAAACCTCCCAAAAAGCTGTCGCTGAAGCACAGAGCCCCCGTGCCCCCCAGCCTGGCTGACCCCGCGCGCAAGGACCGCCACAAGCTGGTCAACTCCTTCTTCACTGCAGCCAGTAAGTGCTGCCCCTGCCCACCTCATGGTGATGATGATGATGATGATCTTCATGTCCCACTCCCCAGGGTGAGGCAGGGCTATGGCAGGGTGCAGGTGAGGTGTGTGCAGGTGTAGTTTAGGTTGGTAGGGATCTTCTCACGCTCGGTATCAGCAATGCCCACAGCTCTGAGCACGCCTCCCCAGTACCCCCACACTGGGGAGAGTTTGTGGAGCTGGAAAACTCCACCCAACCTTCCTGTGCCAGCAGAAAGAGAGGTGAAAACAGGCATTTCATAGCTCTTTCTCTGTTCCCCTCCTCAGAGCGCTCACATCAAAAAGCCCAAGCAGACAAGGCACACAGGCCGCCTTTAGACGATTTTTCGGCCGTGTCCAAGGCCGAGAGAGCGCCAGAGCGCTCTGCCCAGCCTCCTGCCTTTGACAAAAAGCGATTGCGAGACTGCTCATCTGAGAGGAGTGAAGGTAGGCCCCCAGGGGCAGGTGTCTCGGGGGGAGCTTGGGCTTCGCTGCATCCCCAGCCTCTCCACCCCAGACACGGGGGCACGCACTGCTTCGGGCCGAGTCGCCACCGCAGCCATGCCTCGTGTGCTCTAAACTGCTTCTTCCCCAGGGCAGCCCCCTCGAAGGTGCTTTTCTTTCCTGCACAGTTCTCCTCAGCACCGGCCATTTCTGGTGCACATGGCCCTTTCCTCTCCTCCGCCGCCGCCGCCCCCTCGTTTGGGTCGGGTCTCTTTGCTGATGTCACTGTTCCTTTTCTCCCRCCCTCCCCRTGCAGTGTTGAAGCATCACACGGAYGTCGGTGGCCCGAGCTACCTGTCAGCAGCTGTGACCCCCACCCCTCACAGCCCCATAGCTCGGCAGCTCTCCACCTCCTCCGAGGGCTCCACTCCCACCAGCTCCGCGTCCCAGGGCACCTCTGGCAGTGCTGTGAGTATCCGTGACCTTCTGGAGGGGTTCTGGGCTCAGCTCCATCATGGGGGATCAGMTTTTGGGCAGGTTTTGGGCTGGGGGAATGCTCAGTGGTTCTCTTGCCACGCTGGACCCATCTGGGGTTGCTGGGTGCGTGTTGGACATGTTGGAAGCTGAATTTCCAGGTTCACCATCAGCTCAGCAACTGCTGGTGGACATTCCCAGGGTCCTTTAGCTTTTCTCCACACCCCAATTTTGGGTTCTGAAGCGGTGTGGGTGTGCCAGGAGAGGAGCTGAGCACCAGCAGTGCTGCTTCCCCTGGCACAGCTCTCTCTTGTGGCCTCGATGGCCCCAGGCTGTGAATGGGCTTGGGATCATGGGGCCAGTGGTGSTGRTGRAGATCTTCCACCTGCACACGAGCTSCAGCAGTCACTGAACTCAGAGCACCTTCTGTGACAGAGTCCCAGAATGCCTGAGGATGGCAGGATTGGGGACCTTTATGAGCTGTGTGAGTGAGCAGAGCCCAAACTCCCTCCCTGGGACAGAGGATGGCACAGCTCCTCCACCAGGCACAGCATCCTCCCAGCCCCTTTGGTGAAGGACTGAACTCTGCTGAGCTCAAAATGTCCCAGTGAAGAATTTGGCTTCTCACTCGCCACCCCATGTGGTCATTTGGGCCCAAGGTCTGAGCTGGGTGTGGCTCTGGGACTTTGAGCAGCACTCCAAGTTTGTCATTGTGAGGTTTCAGGTCCCCATTGGGCTCCTTCACTGCAGAATTCAGTTGTTCCATCMCCAGCTGTGACATCAGGGTGTCAGAAGAACCCAGTGGTGGTTCAGCTTGAGTGTGCTTGGGGTTTTGGGGGAGAGGASAGCTCATCTCAGCAGCTCTGGCACCTCGAGGAGGCCTTTCCTTGGCTCCACAAACCCACAGTGGTTTTCTCTTGCTGCTTTTCCTGCTGTGTTTTCACAMGCTTGTCAGAAATGCAAGATGAAGAGGATTCCAGGCCCTGGGCTCCACGCTCTGGGCTCAGGGCTGGAGCTCCTGTGTTCAAGCATCCCAGGCAGTCACGGGTCTGTGTGTGTGCTCCCCAACTAAAGGGTCAATCTGGGCAGCCACACCTTGGGATTTGGGTTTCCTTGCTGCTGGAGCAYTAGATTTTGGGTTGGGAAGAGTGAGCAGTAGGGCAGTTCCAGTCTGATGCAAATCAATGTTGGTTCTGAAGTGTCTCTAGGTCAAACCAAGGCCGTTTTGTCCTTTCTCCATCAATGACTTCCACCAGTGACTTTCCAAGCTGCCAAACTCCACATCCCTTTCTCAACGTGGCTCTTCTCATTGCAGCAGCCGAGGAGGAGGAGGGGCGAGAGCTCCTTTGACATCAACAACATCGTCATCCCCATGTCGGTGGCGGCCACGACGCGCGTGGAGAAGCTGCAGTACAAGGAGATCCTCACCCCCAGGTACTGCCCCAGAGGGGAGGGAGCTGCTCTGCCTCCTCCTTGGCAACGAGGCAGAGTTGGGATAATTRATGGTAGCATTTGTGGGGACTGGCTGAGTTAGGGAGTATTTCCTCTGAGGCTCCTTTGGGCATTAAATGCTCRTTTTAAGGTCAGGCCTGGCTGTCTCTGTGTCCTGTGACTGAGCTGAGGGTCCCGTTGTTTTCACAGCTCTGCAGTGCCTGGGCTGGGTTAATCTTGCAGTTCTGCCTCTTCCCAGCTTCTCTCTGTCTTCCTCCTGATCCTCCATCCCCTACCCAGGCCCATTTTAGAGCAGGGCAGGGCAGGGCTGGATGGAACCTGAGGGAGGAACAGGAGGAAATGCTGCAGCCTCTGCWCTGCATCCTCTGCCCTTGGGAATCCTCAGCTATTTTACCAGACCACTGAGGGGGTCTGGTCCTTTAAACTGAGCCCGAGTGTGGTGCTCCTCATGGCAAGGTGGAATTTTCCTTCCCCAAAAGCCAATGTTAGTGAGGGGGATGTGCAGCTGGTTCTGGCTGTGCCCTGAATGATGCCCGTGGTGGTTGTGTTGCAGCTGGCGTGAAGTTGATATCAGTGCTCTGAAAGCCAACCCTGAGGAGGACAAYGAGGAGGTAAGAAGGGTTTTATTTCTCAGTTGGTGTGGGATGGGGCTGGTGGTGACTGAAGGGTGTCTGTGGAGGGAGCAGAGGCAGGGAAGCAGCTGGTGTTAGTTCCTTCTGGCAGAAGGGCTGCCAGAGCTCCAGGAGCATTTGGACAACAATCCTRGGCACAGGATGGGACTGYTGAGGTGCCTGTGCAGRGCCAGGAGTCAGATTGGATCCCTGTGGGTCCCTTCCAGCTCAGGACATTCTACAATTCAATGATAAACATTAAACTAATGATAAACTATAACTGACGCTGGCAGTACTGTACAGAAATGGTTTAATTGAAGAAATGGTTTAATAGAAGAAACGGTTTAATAGAAGCAATGGTTTGATAGAAGAAATGGTTTAATAGATAAATGGTTTAATAGAAGAAATGGTTAAATAGAAGAGATGGTTAAATAGAAGAAATGGTTTAGTGCAAGAAATGGTTTAATAGAAGAAATGGTTAAATAGAAGAAATGGTTTAGTGCAAGAAATGGTTTAATAGAAGAAATGGTTAAATAGAAGAAATGGTTTAGTGGAAGAAATGGTTTAATAGAAGAAATAGTTTAATAGATGAATGGTTTAATAGAAGAGAGCTCTGACCAAGCCCTGTGCCCTTCCCTTGCCAGATTGAGGACCTGTCAGACTCAGCGTTCGCCGCTCGGCACGGGAAGTGTGAGGAGATGGAGCGGGCGCGGTGGCTCTGGAGCACGAGTGTCCCCCCGCAGCGCCGGGGCAGCAGGTACAGCCCTGCCCAGGGAACACTGGGAACACTGCTCCCAGTGCTGGGRTGCTCCTGGCAGCAGGGGCAGGGCATAAAAACGGCTGAAAGCTGGTGCTGGTGCTGGAGAGTTTGGCTCCATCCAGCTTGGAATGGGGCACAGTCTTGCTTAGGTGGGGGTGAAGCTAAAGCCCAGTTTGGCTGCAGAACTCTTTCACCATCTGCTTTTTCAAGCACTTCTACTGCTGCAGAGATGTGTGAGCTGCTGTGGCAGCCCAGGAGTCCAGGGGAGGGCACAGAGGCTGCGATGGCATCGTTCCTTCAGGCTCAGGGGCAGTCACTGCACACTCAATTCCCTTTCTGCCGTGTCTTTGTGAGTGGGTGTCTAAAACCTCCCACTGTTTCCAGCTGTTGATCTCCTCATCAACCTGCACAAGAAGAGATTTGCTCTCTCTCCTCTGTTCCATTGCTGAGGGTTTGGTTGCCTRGAGTCACTTTGTACCGGGGTGGAGACGCTGCTGAGCCACAGCTCTGTCACTGCCCCTGACACTGTTTTGGTTTTGGTGTCTACATTTGCGGGGGTTCCTGCAGGAGCTTCTGCCTTTGTCAAACCCCACTCGTGCTGCTGCTGCTGCTGCCCTGTTTCCTCTGCAGCTGCCAATTCCCAGTGCTTCTGGAGAGTGGGATGTTTTGCTGTTTCTTTAGCCCATTTCTTACATCCGAAGTTGTTGTTGGTCATCTTGGAGAGTTGCACATGGATTGGGAATTCAGTGATGCTTCTCTGCTTGTAGCCTGTGGGATTTTATCTGGAYTCTCTGTCAGGGCTTAGACTATCTTAATTCTTAGTTGAAATCTGAAATCTTGGGATTTCATTGTGCTCCTTCTGCTCCCAGCTGCTGAAATCGCTGCATTTCCAGCGTTGCTGATGCCTTGTGCTCAGTCCCTGAGCTGCTGCTGGGGGTTTGAKGAGGGGGAAACATCTTGAAGTGCCTTGATTTCATAGGGAGTTTCTCATCATGGTTTTTGTGCAGTCTGGGGAGTGTAGGGGATGTGTGGGACAGGGAAGCTCTGGAGAACAGCGCTGGTGATGCATCCAGACCGTGGAAATGGGACAGAGATGAACCTGGATGGGTTTTGTCTGTGGGCTGTGGCATTCCCTGCTCATGTTCCCATCAGGGCAAAGGGATCCTGGGKGTGGGATCAGGCAGCAGTGGGGAAACATGGCTTGGCTCTCAAACCTTCTCCTGTCTCAGGTCCTACAGATCGACAGACGGCCGGACAACCCCRCAGCTGGGGAACCCCTCAACTCCCCAGCCAGCATCCCCTGAGGTGGGCAACTACCACTCCCACTTGGAGCTGTCCCACACTCACTCACCACGCAGCCCCATCAGCCCTGAACTGCTTTGTGCCCCCCTGACCTCCCTGTCCCGGGACTCCCTGCGGCTCCTGTCCAGCGAGGACACGCGTTGCTCCACGCCCGAGGCCGGCCTGGACGAGCAGGTGGGTTGGTGCTGGTGGGTTGGTGCTGGTGGGTTGGTGCAGGTGGGTTGGTGCTGGTGGGTTGGTGCAGGTGGGTTGGTGCTGGTGGGTTGGTGCTGGTGGGTTGGTGCTGGTGGGTTGGTGCAGGTGGGTTGGTGCTGGTGGGTTGGTGCTGGTGGGTTGGTGCTGGTGGGTTGGTGCAGGGGACCCCGGGGTGGGAGCAGCTCGGAACCTGCACACGGGAAATGCTGTTGGAGCCGGGCCAGGTGGGGTACAGGGCAGGGGAGAGTTCACAGCAGCTGCCAGTGGGGTACAGGGCAGGGGAGAGTTCACAGCAGTTGACCAGGTGGGTACATGGGCACTGGGCAGCATTTACAGCAGCTGCCAGTGGGTTACAGGGCAGAGAAGAGTTCACAGCAGCTGCCAGGTGGGGTACACAGGCCGTGGGCAGCATTTCCAGCAGTTGGCGAGGTGGAATGCAGGGCAGTGGGGAGTGTTTCCAGCAGCTGCCAGGTGGAATGCAGGGCAGTGGGCAGCATTTCCAGCAGCTGCCAGGTGGGGTACACGAGCAGTGGGCAGTGTTTCCAGCAGTTGGCCAGTGGGGTGCACAGGCAGTGGGCAGTGTTTCCAGCAGCTGACCCAGGTGGGTACATGGGCAGGGGAGAGTTCACAGCAGCTGCCAGGTGGGTACACAGGTAGTGGGGAGTGTTTCCAGCAGTTGGCAGGTGGGATGCAGGGCAGTGGGCAGCATTTCCAGCAGTGGGCAGGTGGGATGCAGAGCAGTGGGCAGCATTTCCAGCAGTTGGCAGGTGGAATGCAGGGCAGTGGGCAGCATTTCCAGCAGTTGGCTCCGTTTGGAGCCGCTGTGTCCTCTCCACCTCCGCCAGCGCTTCCCGAGCGCTGCTCCCAAGGCCGGGACTCAGCACCCAGGAGCTGCCGCTGCCAGAACCACGCGAGGAGCCAGGACAGCAGAGCCTTTCCATGATTTTCCATGATTTTCCATGACTCCATTCTCTTCCCCAGGCCGTGCAGCCCTGGGAGCGCCGCACCTTCCCGCTCTCCTACGACCCCCGGACGGAGTGCGAGGACCAATCCGACCCCCAGGACCGGTTGTCGCGCTGCACCCGCCGCACGTCGGGCAGTAAATCCTCCCGGGAATGCGATGGCACTTCGGCTTCGCCCAGCCTGGCCAGCCTCAAGAGCCGAACCCCGCTGGCCCCCCCTTCCTCCTCCTCTTCCTCCTCTTCTTCTTCCTCCTCCTCCTCCTCCTCCTCCTGCTCCGCAGTCCTGCGGCCAGCGCACAGATAGAGACACACGGGGAGACATGAGCAAACCAACACACAGAACTAACTCTTGGCATTAAAGCTTCCAAAATCTGCGTTTGATATTCAAACATCCTGCCGGGAATTTTCACAGTTTTTAGTGAATTTAAGGAGTTTAGAAACTGTTTTCTGTTTTTTTTTTT